GCACAATTTCAGACCCCTGTGGACTGATGGTGACATTCAGCTTCAGTCTGGCAGTAGCATACACCAGCTGTTTCCATAAGCCTGGGCCAAAGATGGTCACGGCAGTTTAGAATTTCCCTCCTAAGTGAGTTTAAAATGGAAACTTCAAGTTTACAAACCAAACACTAATTTACTCTTCTATGAATGAGACATACATCCCCTTATAGTTCAGTGCAATGACAGCACACGGGAAGGCTGACCTCCTATTTGCCTCACACACCAGGTGCCTCATAAAGCAGAGTATACCCCAGAGGCTCCCAAATGAAGACTGCGACTGGGGTGGCGAAAATGTACAGTTGATTCTCTTCCCTTGGTTTATTCCATCCTTCCTCCTAACCCTTAAGCTATATTCCCCAAGGATCAATCTTTAGATGCCTTCTCTCTCTATATTCTGCATACTCCCTTAGGTTAACAGTATCCATACTCATGTCTTCAAAATATCCTCATGACTCTCAAATAAAAATCCACCTCAGATTACTCTTCAATGCTTCAAATCCACGTATTCAACTATCTGCAGCCACGGTCAAAATGGACGTTCCATAGGTATTAGTGCAAATATAAGTACCAAAATGAATTCTTTTTCCCACCACCTCCCACAACTTGGTGCTGCTTTTCTTTTTGATCACACTCCCTAATTTATTACCAAATCCAGACACGAAGAAATAAACTTAGAAACTCTCAGCCAGACAGACGGACTGACATGGTGAGTGTGACAATGGGCTCGAGCATGTGAGAGGTTGTGGGGATGACACAGGACAGGGTGAGGTTCAGATCCGTTGTTCACAGGGTCTCTATGAGCCACAGTCATTTTAATGGGACCTAACAACAATATGACTAGAGATAGATTTCTAAATCACAGTAATCTGGTAGGTAATTAAAATTACTTAATTATAGTTATCTATCCTGGAGAGAGAATGAAAGTCACGCAAGTGTCAAGGACTTTTGTTCATAGGGTCGCTACGAGTCGTCTACGACTCAATGACACTTAACAACATAGAGAGAGACCAGTTGGCCTAGTGGACTGAAAGTGATGCTACCAAGCCAAAGGTGGGTGACTCTAATTTGCGGCTCTCAGGCCTGCTTTTAATTGCTTTTGGTCAAACATTCTTCCAGGTCGTATATAGCCCTGGTGTGTCTGCTTGTCATACAGAGGTAACCTGTGGTTGTTGTGAAGCTGAACACCGTGGCACTGATGTGTCAAACACTATAATGGTTACCCATGGTGGACAGTGTTTGTTGGAGGTGCCCGATTAAAACATGTTTGGAAGCAGGAGTGGCATCCACTTCATAATAGCTTGCCTCCAGAAACCCTATGAATCTGGAGAAAGGATGAAAGTCACACAAGTGTTAAGGACTTCCGTTCATAGGATTGCTATGAGTCGTCTACTACTCAATGGCACTTAACAACAACAACAACAACATGCATATATTAGTATGTTATAAATTTGTTTTTCAAATATTTTGGTAACTACTTTGATACGAGAGCTCTAACAGAGTAGTCTGAAGTCAGTTAAGCTGATACTGCAAATACACACTGCCTCTCTGACAGTTCAAATCCATCAGTGTGTCTGCAGGAGAAAGATGGGCAAATGGGATGATAGACAGTTCAACGTAATTAAAAAAAAAACAACCAAAAAATAAACCCAACTCAACAAAGAAACAAATCAAACCCCTCACTGTTGTAGAGTCAGAACAAAATTCATAGATGACTCTATAATGGGTTTTTGAAAGGCTGTAAATCGTACAGGAGGAAATTGCCATGGAGGCACTGATGGATTCTAACTGCCAGAGAGATCTGAACCACCCTTGGGTTAGCAGCACATCTCTCTACGGTTCTTTTATAATCCTGTGAATTTATTTTTTGTTGTTTTTGTTTACCACTGAGTCAGAACCAACTCATAGCTGACCCTCCGGCGGGTTTTCAGAGGCGGTTAATCGCATGGGAGGAGACTGCCCATTCTTCTCCCGTGGAGCAGCTGGTGCCCTCGAATAGGCCCTTACACTTTTGAGAGCTGAATTCTCTGGCACAACAAAGATTTGGACCCTTCCTGATAACAGCTCAATTATGGGGCTGGTGAAGAATCCTTGACTCCAATATATAAAATAGGCATATGTCTAGCTTGTGGAGTTAGTCTCAAGATCTAGTAATTATCAGGGGGTTGGAAGGCAGGAGGCACAGCTGACTAGTCACCCTTTCAAGTTTCCTTATTTTCGCAAGCAGACTGGGGCATATTATGTTGATTCAACTTATACCAATATTAAATTACAGCACATTTCCTCCTTTTCATTACAGGGGGGAAAAAGAGGCAATAAATTTCCTGTCTCTCTAGCTTTATTTAGGAACTGGATTTGTAATATTCTAGTAGTAAGCTAAAATTCTGCTGGTTGTTGTGTACTGTCGAGTCAGAACCGACCCATAGCTGACCCTCCCACAAGTTTTCAGAGGCAGTAAATTGCTTGGAAGGAGACTGCCAATCCTTCTCCCATGAAGCAGCTGCTGGTTTCGAACCATGTGCCTTGGGGATTGCAACTTACCACTATAATCAATTAATTGCACTCATCTATTTTGGCAAGGTAGTCTGCATCATGAAAGTAAACAAAGCCTTGCTTCCCTAAATTTTTTCCAAGTACATTTAAAAAGGAATCAAAAGTATTCCCTATACTAATACTTCTTTTACATTCATATTTCTTCCATAAAAGTTACAGTAAACCTTACAGCCCTGACAGAGTTCCACGAACAGATCCCGATCTGGGAATGATTACACTTGCATATGGATTTAACTGAGGACTGGAATAAGTTAACACCTCTTTTTGACCTCCTTCTGAGCACAACATACAAACAGAATCCAGAAATGATGAGTATTTTACAGCAGCTGGCTCCTACAGGTGGTAAGACTGGCTTTGACACAACATGGGCCTAGTCATTCAGCAAGTGTGAATTTTGGAAGTGAGTATCTGCTGGTCTTATTATTAACTGGGAGCTGTGGTGTTGTTATAGATTTCCAAACTTAAAACGCATTTATGACGCGTTATTTATAATTTAACTAAACAATAAAAATACTGCTTTTCTTGTATTTTCATGAAGAACAGGTCCCTCATGGAATTCAACTCAGTTAATAAAATCTTCCTTCTGATTTCAAAATTTCAATCTCTGATCAACTGTTGTTTAGAAATATGAACAAACAGTCACAAGAGACTGATGAGTATTTTTAAAAATCTTCAATGGGTGAAGCTACTAGGGATCAATATTCTGGAAAATATATTTCCTCTTTTAAGATAATTTTATTTTGGGATTATAGAAGTATACATTAACTTTGTAGGTAAATGTAAACTTAGAAGAACTTCTATACCCAGCAAGGTATCCAGGATTTTGCCTGCATCCCTTTGATACCTGCCTGGCCTCGCAGCCACTCGCAGAGATCGTTTTGGTATACTTCACGTACGCCACACTTCAACACTGAGCGTGAAGCTCCAGAACAGCACTATTTCCAAAGGAAATAAAATAAGACCCACTCACGTGATTTAAAAGTTACTCATAATGACATTTTGACAGACTATAAGGAAATAGCTAAACTTGTTTCTAATTTCATTTACATTCCAAATACATTAAAAAAGAACCAGGAACCATCAAGTCCATTCCAACTCACAGTGACCCTGTATGGATTCACGTAGAACTGTGCGTCATGCCCGTCTTCTCAGGCACCTCTGCGTGGACTATAACCTCCAGCCTTTTAGTTACCGGCTGATCACATTAGCAATTCCATACAGAGACTCCCTTACTTAGCTAAATAGACTATCATTTCAGCATGTAATCCATAGAAAGTATTCAACTTATTTTATACTTTTTCCTAACCCATGAGCTCTAGTGTGGAGGGAGCTGTACTGGTAACACAAAGGTGGCACTTCTCTGCTGGTCTGAATTCACCAGGGGCTGCCAGACACCCGGCCTCCTGAAAAACCCATGGGTTAGCTATGAACTGGTTTTGATGGCAATGAAATTGAGGATGGGTTTATATATATATATTTCTTTTTTTTTTCCCCCAAAATCCAATGTGTATTTGATGTTTACAAACACTCAAACTCCCTGCAGTTCTTATTGATAGTGATGCTCCATCAGGTTTCTGAGGCGGTCAATTTTCCTGGGAAGAGACTGCCCGTCTCTCTTCCCTTGAAGTTGTCGGTGGATTCGAACTACCAGAGAGGCACAGCCTTTGGGTAAGTGGTGCAACTCACTATGGACTGTGCCAGCAGAGAACATCTCCAGTCAGACTAGCCACAATAATCATCATCCTATGAGCTCAGATCTCTTTATTCTTTTCAGGATACCACAAGAGTAGCAAATCGGCCCCAATTCTAGTGTGTTCAGATATCCTCTGAATCATAGCTCTTGTAAAGTTTCAAGGATTAGTGCTTTCACATGTTTGTGCAAGAGTCTAGTTATTGTGGCAATAACTAAAAAAATTATAAATATTTTAATCTTTGCCTTTCTGCCTGCTTATTCAAAAAAACCAGTCTTGATGTTAAAGTTAGACATTTTCACAATTAACAGGTTAGAGAACAAAAAAGATTCACTAGTTATCTGATCATATGTCATATTCGTTCTTTTCCAGTGTTTATTTGCATTTCAATGTAACTCATTCATTTATGTTGAAAATACTATGGATTTTCTTAGTATAAGGTAGGAGAAAAATTGAAATACATTTGATAAAACAGTAATACTAAATCTGAAAAGAAATTCATTAAGAATAAGTGGTAACATATACTAAAATAACGGTAATTGGCTTTACTCTTTATGCAATTTTTAGGGATTACATGAATTTAAACTAGAAGTAGCACTCTACCTAAAGTCTACAATGCCCTGAGGTTTTACAGAGTTTAACAATTCTAGGCTTTGATTCTCAGTAAATATTTCTGCCCATTTCCCTGCTTTCTTATCCCCTCTTCAGTACAAAAGCAATTACCTTAGATAAATGTTTCTTTATGGTTTCATTATCTCTCTCCACCACTTGTATCATTTCTTGGCCCCCAAGGTAGGCAGCATTTGCTACATTAAAAAGAAAAAAAAAGAGTCAAACAGAATATATAAACACAAATGCTAAATTAATTTTAATAAATTTCTATTCCTCCATTTCTTTAGGCAAATGATATCTAATATGAGATATCAGTGAGGCAAAGAGAGGAATGTGGGTCAGGCAACGTGCTAAGTGCCTGAAAACAATGGTCAACACCAGAAAAACCTCTCAGCTTTATCTGCCTTCCTCAATAGGAAAAGTCTAGCAAGAGTACAACATTATGTCAGAAAATATAGGAGATATGTCTGCAGCTCTACTCGATAAGTATGTCATTTATAAATGATTTAAGCAAAAGCTATTTCAGATAAATCACGTATACAAGGCAAAATGCATGAACAGTAACGAACATGAAGCTATGCTGGCAGTGCTTTTAAAAAGGAAAATATTGAAAGAATTATTTCAGCTATGCATGTTGAAAGCATCTCTAAAGGTTAGTCCCATTATACTGATTGTAACATGAACCATGACCTTCATTCTCAAAAATGGCAGGTGCCTAGGAAAGAGGAAGAAAGTCTGAGATAACAGAAATTATTTTTGAAAAAATTTAAAGAAACTTTTTATTCTAATCTGGTTTATTTACAAAGTTTGTACACATTGTTTTTCACACAGGATCTTTCCCATTTCCTTTACCCACCCTTTCGTCAACCCATCAAATTGTGCTCCCACCTTCCTCACTTTGGAGCCTCATACTCATTCTACAATAATGGTCTCACACAGTATTTGTCCTCATGGGACTGAGTTAGTTCACTTAGCATAATACTCTGCAGTCCCTCCCAAGTTAGGTAGTAATTTACAAAGCATTTCTCTAGCATGCTGTGTAGTATTTCATTGTGTTAATGTGCCATAATTTCTCAATCCATTCAACGGTGGTTGGACATGTGGGCTGTTTTCATCTTCTTGCTATGATGAATAACGCTGCTATGAACATTGGTGTATAAATGTCCATTTGTGCCTCAGTTCTCATTTTCTCAGGGTATATTCCAAGCAGTGGAATAGCTGGGTCATATGGAATTTCTATGTTCAGCTATTTGAGGAAACACCAAACTGCCTCCCAGAGTGGTGAGATAAAACACACTGTTATCACTTTCTTCTAATGGGAAGTGTTCTACTATTGTTAGGTGCCATCGAGTCAACTCTAACTCAAGTACCCCAATGAACAACAATTGGAAACCTTGCCTTATCCTGTACCATCCTCAAAAACTCCACCACACTCTAATCCATTGTTGCAGTCACTGTGTTAATACATTTCATATAGGTTATTCCTCTGTCACTGACCTTCCACCTTTCCCAGCATGACGTCTTTTTCCAGGGGCTGGCACTTCCTAACAACATGTGCAAAGTATGTGAGATGAAGTTTCACTAGCTTTGGCTCTAAGAAGCATGCGACTTCCTCCAGGATAGACTTGTTTGTTCTTTTGACAGGCCAAGGAGTACTGCTATATTCAATACTCCCTTCCAACACTACAATTCAAAACCATCAATTCTTCTCCAGTATTTCTCACTGTCCAACTTTCACATGCATATGAATCAATGGAAAATACGATGGCTTGGGTCAGGCACACCTTGGTCTTTAAACAGACATCCTTAGGATTTTCAAGAGGTCCTCAACAGTTGATTCCCCAATGCAACATGTCTTTTGATTTCTTGACTGCTGCTTTATGGATAAAATAAATTTTTGAGAACTTCAATCATCTCTGCATTTATCATAATGCTGTCTATTGGTCCAGCTATAAGGATTTTTGTTTTCCTGGTACTGAGGCATAATTCATATTGAAGGCTTTAGTCTTTGATAATTTTCAATAAGTGCTTTAAATCCTATTCACTTTGCGTAAGCAAGGTTTTGTAACCTGCATAATGTAGGCTGTTGATGAGTCCTCCTCTAATATAGATGCCATATTCTTTATAGAGTGTGTTGTTGTTGTTATACGCCGTCAAGGTGACTCTGACTGATAATAACCCTATGTGCAACAGCTCCGAACCTTGCTCTGTCTTGAGCCAATTTCACTGTCTCCGACACACCTACCCCCAGCACCCCAGTCACTTAACTTCTCTAATTATTTGCTCAGCATACAGATCAAATAGAAATGGAGAAAAGATACAACCTTGATGCATACATGTTGTTGTTGTTAGGTGTCACTCACTGAGTCAAGTACAACTCACAATGACCCTACAAACAAAAGATCTAAACCTAGTCCTGTCCTGCACCATCCTCACACTTCCTGACACACAAGAGCCCATTGCAGCAGCTACCTTGTCACTCCACCTGGTTGAGGGTCTTTCTCTCCTTCGCTGACCCTCCACCCTTCCCAACATCATGTTCCTCTCCGAGGAACAGAACCTCCTAGCAATATGTCCTTAGTATGGGAGGCGAATCCTCATCATTCTTGCCTCCAAAGAACACTCTGGCAGCACATGCTCCAAGACATATCTACTCTTTCTCTTGGCCGGCCATGGGATTTGCAGTGCTCTTCTCCAACACCACAGCTGCAAGGCATCAATTCTTTTTCTGTCATCCTTATCATTGTCCAGGTCTCGGATGCAAAGCTAGTAATTGAAAAGACTATGGCCTGAATCAGACACACCTTAGTCCTCAAACTGACATCACTATTCCTCGAAAATTTGGAAAGGTCCCTAACTGCAGATTTTCTCAGTGCAATGTATCTCCTTATTTCCTGACTGCTTGTACCAAGGGTGTTAATTGTGGATCCAAGCAAGATGAAGCTATTGACAAGTTACAATCTCCTCTCTATGCATCATGATACTCCCTATTGGTCCAGTGGTAAGAATCTTTGTTTTCTTGATATTGAGATGCAATCCATACTGAAGGCTGCAGTCCTTGATCTTCCACAAGTGCTTCAAGTCCTTTCTTTCAGCAAGCAAGGTTGTATCATCTGCGTAATGCAAGTGTCTTCCTCCAATACTGATGCCACATTCCTCTTCATAGAGTGCAGCCTCTCGGATAATTTGCTCAGCATATAGATTGGACAGGTATGGAAACAGAATACATTCATGACACACTCCCTTCCTAATTATAAACCATGCAGTGCTCCCCTGCTCCATTTGCACAACAGCCTCCTGCTGACACAATCAAGTCTCAATGTCAGCCACAACTTGTTATGATCCACACAGTCAAATGCCTTTGCACAGTCAATAAAACACAAATAGTCATTCTTCTGGTATTCCTTACTTTCAGCCAGGATCCATCTGACATTAGCAATGATAAACTTGGTGAAAGAGGAAGTGGAAACTGCATTGAAGACACTGGCAAAAAATAAGGCCCCAGGAATAGATAGGATACCAACCGATTTATTTCAATTAACAAATGCAGCCTTGGATTCACACACCTGTCTATGCCAGGAAATATGGAAGAACGGCTGTCTGACTAATGGTCTGGAAGAGGTCTATATTTGTTTCTATTCCCAAAAAGGGTGATCTTATTGAATGTGGAAACTGTTAAACAATATCATTGATATCACATGCAAGCAAAATACTGCTGAAGATCATTCAAAACCTGCTGCAACAGTACATAGGTAGGAAATTGCCAAATGTTCAAGTGGAATTTAGATGAGGTTGTGGCACTAGGGATATCACTGCTGATGCACACATAATTATCCTCATTTTAACCCATGTATTATTGTTCTCTTGTTCTGTTTTAATAACTGCTTCCTTTTCTAGGTATAGGTTTCATCTGAAGTTTCACTAAATGTCTGGCCAAGTAAGCTGTAACTGTTAACAACCCCTATCTCTTCTCCAGACATCATGGTTTTGCCAATTGACCCTGTGGTGAGAATCTTTGTCTTCTTGCTGTTAAGCTTCAATCCATATTGAAGACTACAGTCCTTGACCTTCTGCAGCAAGCGCTTCAGATCCTCCTCAGTTTCAGCAAGCAGGGTTGTGTCATCTGCAAAATGTAGGTTGTTGATGAGTCTTCGTCCAATCCTCAAGTCACATTCTTCCTCATAAAGCTCAGCTTCCCAAAGGACCTGTTCTGCATATAGATTGAAAAGGTACAGAGACAGGACACATCCCCGACACACTCCCTTCCTGATTCTGAACCAGGTAGTGCTTTCTTGCTTTATTTTGAGAACTACTTGCTGGTCTAAGTATAGGATTCCATATGCACAATCAAGTGTTTCCTATTCTTCTCAAGGTTAACCACAATTGCTGTGATCCACATAGTCAAATGTCTTTACATAGTTTGCTTGGCTACACAATAAACACTCTTGGCACCAGCAGTTAGGAAATCAAAAGACAAATAGCATTAGGCAAATCTGGTAAATCTGCTGTCAGGGACATTTCCAGAGTACTGAGAAGCAATAATGTCAGTCTCGAGACTAAGGTGTGCCTGATTCAGGCCACAGTCTTTGCAGTGATTGGCTATGCATCAAAGAGCTGGAAAATGATTAAGGATGTCAGAGGAAGAATTGATGCCTTTGAGTTGTGGTGCTGGAGAAGAGTCAAGAACATACCAAGGACTGCCAAGAAAACAAATAGGGTTGTCTTAGAGAGGGTGAAATCAAGTTTCTCCTTGGAGGCTAGGTTTATAAAGCTCCATCTCACATACTTTGGGCATGTGGACAGGAGGGACCAAACCTTAGAGAAGGACATCATGCTTGAAAGGGTGGAGCAACAGTGTAAGAGAGGAAGACCCCAAATGAGAAGGATTGATACAGTAACTAGGGCTATAGGAGAAGGTGTGTCAGAGTCAGTGAGATTGGCTCAGGAAAGGGTAGGCTTCTGAGCTGTTGTACATAGGGTCACTATGGATTGCAGGAGACTCGACGGCACATAACAACAACAACAACAACAACAACAACAACAACAACAACAGCAAAAAAAACAAATGTTCTTGCATGAGAATTCTTCTCAATGTTATATATAATTAATATGAACCAAACAGCTGAATATCTCCTTTGTCTTAAATTAAATTTTGACTAGTGTTATTTCTGATACTTACATTTCTTTTTTTATT